TCAACATGGAGTATGATCCAATTCGTGTTCAAGTCCTTGGTCGTGATCCGTTTCCTACCGTGTGTGAGGCCTATGCTTATGTTCTGCAGGAAGAAAGTAGGCAGAGTGCCATGGTTCATCAGCCCCTTCAGGATCGCTCTACTATAGCCGTCTTTTCAACTCCTACAGCTAAAAAAGTTAGTCCGTCCAAGTCTGGAGGCAGAGGCTCCTCTAATGATCAGATCATTTGTGATTATTGTGGGAAAAAACGTCATGATCGAGACCATTGTGGGAAGTTGCATGGTCGTCCTACTCGAGGACGAGGTGGTTGTCGAGGCCATCGTGACGGTACTGTTCGCTCTCATGCACATCTCTCGGAGTCATCTCCTAATAATTCGAGTGATCCTGCAACACTTTCCCCAGACGAGTTACATACTCTCCGGCATCTAATGGCTCAGCTTGATTCTTCTCCTACCACCACTTCTGATCCCCCTTCCTCCAACTTTGCTTTCACAGGTAATCCTTCGCGTGCCCTGAGTGTTGTCTCATAATTTCCTTGGATTATTGACTTTGGTGCTACCGATCATATGACAGGTTTGTCTAATCTTTTTCACTTTTACTCCCCTTATTCCTGCAAGAATAAAGTAAGAGTTGCAGATGGGCCTTTATCCTCTGTCTCTAGGAAAGGCTCTATTCATTGTTCTCTTTCTATTTCTCTTTCATCAGTTTTACATATCCCAAATTTCTCTACTAACTTGCTCTTTGTTAGTCGTCTTACCACTTCTTTAAATTGTTACATAACCTTTTATCCTTCTCATTGTGTCTTTCATGAACTGGATACGGGGAGAACGATTAGCAGTGGTAAAGCACATGAGGGCCTGTATGTTTTGGATGCCGAATCTTCCTCCGCTAAACACGCTCTTCAGACTATCGGCACTCCTAGCCTCTCACTTTTACATCAGTGGCATCGGCATTTAGGGCATCCCCCATTTTTGTTTTAGGCAAACTTCTCCCTAGTTCAGTGAAGCATTGTGATAGGAAAAATTTTCATTGTGACGCTTGTGAGTTTGCCAAGCATAAACGTTCTTGCTATCCTCCAATTAATAAAAGAAGTTTATTTCCCTTTATGGTTATTTATTCTAATGTATGGGATCCCTCTCGTGTTATGTCTGTGTTTGGCTATCGTTGGTTTGTCACTTTTATTGATTGTTATTCTCGTGTCACTTGGATTTACATGCCTCGTACCAAGAATGAAGTTTTCTCTTGTTTTAAAACATTCCATAAGATGGTCCATACTCAGTTTGCCACTCCCATTAAAGTCCTTCGAAGTAACAATGGCACTGAATTATTGATGGTGACTTTCGTGCGTATCTCGAAGAACATGGTATCCTTTATCAAACCAGTTGTGTCGGTACTCCTAAATAGAATGGTGTTACTGAACAGAAAAACCGTCATCTTTTTGAGGTTGCTCGTGCTCTTATGTTCACGATGCAAGTTCCCAAACCATTCTAGGGTGATGCGGTTCTTAGCGCTGCTTATCTTATTAACCGCATGTCTTCTAGTGTTCTTCAGTTCCAGCGCCCTCTTAATCTTCTCCCTCACACTTCTATGTCTTCCATCTCTCTTCCTCCTAAAGTTTTTGGCTGTGTCTGTTTTGTTCATTCCTCCCGCCTCACTCGGAGCAAATTAGATCCCAAGGCTGTGCGTTGTGTTTTCCTTGGTTATTCCTCCACCTAAAAAGGCTATAAGTGTTATGATACTCACTCTCATAAATTCTATGTTACTATGGATATTACCTTCTGTGAGTCTGAGTCCTTTTTTTCAGGTCAAGGTCAATCTCTTCAGGGGGAGGCTTCTACAGAAGAGATTGTTTCTTTTGATCCGTCTGATCCTTTTTTCTCTATCATTTGTAATGAGGGGGAGGTGCAAACTAAACATATTCAGGGGGAGTCTAGTGGGGAGGCGTAAACTGAACATATTCAGGGGGAGTCTAGTAAGATGGATAGACTAGATCTCAAGACTTACACTCGGCGACAAAAAGAACAACCATCTCATGTGCTTCCATGCCCAATGCCAACTCCGGATCTAGTTACTATTCCGTTTGTGGATCCTTCAGGTAATGAGTCCTTGGTCACTACTCCCATTTTCGTTGATGATCTTAATCTTCCTATTGCTATTAGGAAAAGAGTTAGAACTTGTACTCAACATCCTATATCTGATTTTGTGTCCTATGACTCCTTATCTCCATCATATTGTGCATTTTTTTCGCCTTTGTCTTCTGTATCTATTCCACAGGGTTAGAAGGAAGCACTTAATGATCCTAAGTGGAAAGAAGCTATTGCAGAAGAGATGAGAGCTTTGAGTAAGAATGGCATTTGGGAGTTAGTGTCTCTACCATCGGGGAAAAAGCATGTGGGCTGCAAATGGGTGGTCACCATTAAGCAACGAGCAGATGGAACCATTGAGAGATATAAGGTGAGACTAGTTGCTAAAGGGTTCACTCAGACTTATGTCATTGACTATCAAGAGACCTTTGCTCCGGTGGCTAAGATGAATTCTACTCGTGTCTTGCTTTCCTGTGCGGCAAATCTAGGGTGGCCATTGCAACAATTGGATGTAAAGAATGCTTTTCTCCAAGGTGATTTAGAAGAAGAAGTGTATATGGATGTTCCTCCCTGTTTTTGCTCTCCAGCTACTGCTGGGAAGGTTTGTCAGTTAAAGAAAGCATTATATAGTTTGAAGTAGTCTCCTAGAGCCTAGTTTGACAGATTTCTAAAGGCGATGATTAGATTTGGTTACAAGCAGAGTCATGTAGATCATACCATGTTCATCAAACAGCGGGCTGATAAGATTGCTATACTTATTGTCTATGTGGATGACATAGTTATGACTGGGAATGATGTAGAGGCGATATCTCAAATCAAAGCTCAATTTTCCAAGGAATTTGAAATTAAAGACCTTGGGCCTTTACAGTACTTTCTTGGGATTGTGATTGCTAGATCTGACAAGGGTATATTTATCTCTCAAAGAAAGTACATCTTAGATCTACTTGTGAAACTAGGGATGTTAGGATGTAGACCGGCAGATTCCCCTATTGAGGCCAATCACAGACTTAGCAGTAGTGATGGAGATTGCGTTGACAAGGAAAGATATCAGAGACTTGTGGGGAGATTAATATATCTTTCCCATACTAGGCCTGATATTGCATATGTGTTGGCTTATTTTTCCTACGAAGGAAAATATCATAAATGCGAGCGTGCCAGCAAGGATTGAAAAATCCTTACAGATTAAATTCAAGTCAATTACCAAGCGATTGTGTTGACGGTTCTTTTGCCTCAACGAAGAGGACTTCAAATTTGCCAAGTGTAGCGAAAAGAAAAAGTAAAAGAAGAAAAAAGGGACGGAGAAAGATGATTGAGTGAACAATTAAAGTAATAAATACTTACCTCTACTCCTATGCTTCGAAAAGAAAGTACATAAAATGCTTCGAAATGGAAATACTGAAAATAAATGCTTCGAAATATAAATCTATGTTAAACTACTCCTTAGATAAGGAAAATGACAGGAAATATTGAAATCAATTGTCTTTGATTTAAGTTCTGGATCCTTTACAATGTAGCCATTAATGGCTATTTATAGAAGAAAAAATACAGCAATAACTACTTAGTAACTACCCATTTCTTCCATCTTCATTCTTGTCTTGCCATGTGTCCTCCCACTCATCCACTTTGTCCTCCCACTCATCCACTTTGTCCTTCATATTCTCCATTATCTCTATAACTTCTTTTAACTTCCAAATGAATAAGAGGATGCCACGTGTCCTGCAATTATATAAATAATAAATAATAATAAAAATTGCAGATTTATGGTGCTAACAATATGTTGTGGGTGTAGTAAGCCAATTTATGCATGATCCACGAACAGGTAATTTGGATGCAATTAATCAGATCTTGAGGTATCTGAAATCAACGCCAGGAAAAGGAATCTTGTTCTCTAATCATGGTCACTTGAGGTTAGAGGCCTTCACTGATGTAGATTGAGTTAGTGCAGTTGATGACAGGAGATCTACTTCAAGTTATTGTACCGTTGTAGGCGGAAATCTAGTGACTTGGCGCAGTAAGAATCAAGCAGTTGTAGCCAGATCGAGTGCAGAAGTAGAATATCGGGGCATGGCTAATGGCATTTGTGAACTTATGTGGTTTCAAGTTTTATTGGCAAACTTGGGATTGTTAAGTAGCGGGCCAATGAGATTGTATTGTGACAATAAGGCTACTATTAACATTGCTCATAATCCAATTCAGCATGATAAAACAAAGCACATTGAGATTAACAGGCATTTTATCAAGGAGAAAATCAGAAGTGGAGTGATTTGTATGCCTTTTGTGCAACCAGCAGAACAATTGGCTGATATATTTATTAAAGGGTTAGGTAGTAAGGTTTTTCATCCCATTGTGTGCAAGTTGGGCATGAGAGCTATCTATGCACCATCTTGAGGGGGAGTGTTAAGATTAGATGAAGGGTAGTTGTGTAATTGTTTACTTATCACTTATTGATATAAATATTCCTAGTTAGAGAGGACAAACTAATTTTTGATTAGGTTTTGTGCCTCCTAACGTTGTTCTTCTCTCATCTTCTCTGTTCTATCATCTTCTTCCTTCCTTCTTAGGTTTCTTCTTTTATTTTTAACTGTTATAAATCAAGTAAACACTCAATTGACATAAAATAAAACTAGGGAGGTGCCACCTGTTATGCAGATAGGCATTCATGAACTATTTTTCAAGTGCAGCTATACCCCCATTACCTCTGCCACTATTTTTGTCACACATTTTAAAAGATTTTTCCAAGTGCCAGTATTGGCTTTTAGCCTCCTGTCAGACCATAATTTCTCCCATACCAAACTGCTGGTCAGACAATCTCTAGTGTTGTTTTATATAACAGAATAGATGAAAAGGTCAAACTGGAGACTCTAGGCATGGAAGCGCTAAATCCATCAAACATCAAAAAAGACAGCATATAGTTACCACTTCAGCAACATATGGAAAGAAGTGGACAAGATCACCAGGCAAGCCAGGAAAACAAGGTCGTGGTTCTTCCCTCTGAAATATGTAATTAGTCATTAGACAAGGAAAATAAGCAGACACAAGCAGGTACCTTAGAAAGAGCATGGGAATTTGAACACAATATATTGTTGTGTTTAATACCTCATTGGCAACACCAACCGGACAATTATTTGTGTGACAGATGCAAGCCATAACACATCCAGTAGCAATCATTGCTACAGAACCAAACCCACTTTTGAAGCCTCCGTCAACTCTAAGAATGGCCCTCTCTCTCAGTCCATTTTCAATTAGTGTCTGTAAAGAAGTTATCTCTAAACATTTAGAACCTGAAGTAATACACAAGAAATTGAAGGAAGAAATCTGAACCATTTATTTAAAGTTGTACGCAAACCTGATGCGTTGTAAGCCCAAGTTCCCAACGACCACCTGCATGCTTAATGGAACTTATAGGGCTGGCTCCGGTTCCCCCATCATGCCCCGATATCTGCAAACCAAGTTACATGTGTCATTCAATTTGATAATATTCCTATCCTACCTTCTCTAATACATCAGGGAATCTTATTTGCTGTGTTGGAATGAGAGCAAAAACTTTACTGTTACAAGACATGTTCTCGTATGTCCAACTGATACTATCACAAAGGCTAATTTATCATTCGCTTCTACAACACGATAGGCATAGTAGTTGTTTCGCTGGAGAGCTATTTGATGGTCTTGTTCAGACTTGAAATAAATGTGGAAGCGCATTGAGGCATTCCCAAAAGGAGTCTGACAATGTTGATATTCTAGCCTAACTAGGAACAGTAGCTTGGAGAGTGATCGCGTTCGTTTGGTTGACATGACTAGTGAAGATCATAAGAGTTTGAGGAGTATAGAACAAACATGGTGAAAACTAGATTTTCAAAACCTGCCTCAGTCATGGTCATCATTTCTATTTTTAACTTCTTCTTCATATACTTCTTAATGAAAGAAATAGTCCCAAAAAATTTTGAAAATAATAAAAATGCTTGAAAACAAATTAAATGTAGAAAATGTGTAGGAAACTAGAATGCAGCTTACTTGTTCTTCTTCTTCTTCTCCTTCTTCTTTTCCCTTTTCATCCCCTCCTCATCCTCACCATCTTCTTTCTCTTCTTGTTGTTGCTGTTTCAGGAATAACGGTAGATAAATTTTCATAGAAAGCACTCTTCATTGATGAAAAAAAATATGCAAAGACATAATGAATCAGAGGAAGAATACCAAAAACAAAAATAATAGATTGCCTACCAAAGTCACATTTGGGACTCATGGCCCATGTTTGCATACGTTTACTACATTTTTGTAACAAAAATTTTGGAAAAATAAAATTAAGAACATAGTTGTCAAATCAGAATTCGTATCGTGAATCAAAATGGCCTCGTACCAAATCGAATTGTGAATCATAAAGATTCAGCCACTTTTTCTAAATTACTTAAAACCATATATCTACACATTTGGATGTTAAATATGTTTTATGAATATGAAATATTTAGACTAAAATCAATGCAAATGTTATTTTGATTAATAATCACATAGTTTAATAGATAAGAAGTTAATAAAGATTCATATGTAAGATCACCATCTTACCTTCTTTTTTTTTAGATATTTCTTATCAACCATTCTTAATAAAGATAATAATCAAATAAACAAACTATCAATTTTCAAAGTAACAATAATTAACAACAATATTGATATTTGAACAATAAGCACACATACTTTTCTAAGTAACAGTGAGTGAATAATAAGAAAGAATTATTTTGAATATTTTATTTTAAAGGCTAAAGCATTTTAAAACGTATAACTGACCTCAAACATATAATATTCAATTTAATAAAATAATAATAGATAATTCATAGTGTAACTTTAATCTTAAACATGTTTAAAAGATATCTTATGATTTTTTAAAGGGAAAAAAAATAAGAAAGGTTAAAAATATTTTGGGTCTGATTGGATCATATTAAAAACTCCATGATCACTAAAATAACAACAAATCATGTATATATGTTAGTTATTTTGGTATTAAACGTTATTAGAAGTTGTATTATGTCATTTTCATTAAAAAGATGGAGAAAAAAAGAGTTAAAAATATGTTGGACATAATAATTTCAAAAATTGCATGAATCGTAAAAGTGAATCGAATCGTGAATTGATTGTGAATCGTGCGATTCACTAGAGATTCACTTACAAAATCGATTCACTCATAGATTCGTATCGATTTTGCAAAAATTGCGAATCGAATCGTGAATCATAAGATTCTGATAACAGATGAATAGATGAAGAAAATGCAAAACAGAATTATGAAAAGAAAATTGTTCCAGCAATGCTTGGGCAGATTTTTTTTTTTTTTTTTTCCAGTGGGTTTGATGAATGCTCGTGATTTGCTTCCCCAAGGTTTAGCTCAAGGAAATATGGACATTAGCTGCTTTAACATGAAAACTTTGGAACGGCACCCAAAGTTCAGCCTTGATCTAGAATCTCTGCTGGTATTCTGGTGCTGGTTTTGTTTCTCTTGTAAGCATTCAAATATACTATTCAGGAAAGAAATTTGATGAGTATTGTATCAAATTTGTAGAAGTTTTTAAAGATTATTGGACTCACTCATATCTAGTCCTCGTACTACTAGAGTGGTGTGTGTGTGTGTCTGTGCATGTGTGTATGCGTGGGGGAAAATCTTCATTTCATTCCATTAGCAAAAATGTTGGTATAGTATTTTTTTCATATATATATAATTCCTTTTTTTTGGGATAAATTATATATATATATATGTTTTTCTCCTAGTGGAGGAAAGAATCAAATGTAAATTTAATCATAGAAAAGAGGTTTCTAAGGCTTGAAAGATGTGCATCTAATCAAGTGACAAAACTAGGCTCATAAGGCTTTGATGAAAGTAAACCGTGTTTGGTTGCCAGATAATTGAATCAGTTGTAACTTATAAATGATTTTGAAGATGGGCAGGATGTGTTCAAAGAATTACATTTTGTTTTTCTGATGCAACTTTTAATTGTAAATTTACTTGTACAGTACACTATTTCTAGCTACCATGCCATTATTTGATCAACTTTTAAATTTTGTATTTTCATCAAAATAATTTTTTTGTCCACTGTCTGAAGCTTGTTGCTTGTTCCTTTATATACTGACCAAAACACGGCTTAATATTCTTTTATAGTTAAAATATTCTACAAAAGTACTTAACAGAAGAAAACTACTAAAGGTTTCTTTGCCAAAAAACAAAAAAACAAAGAGAGAGAGAGAGAGAGAGAGAGAGAGGAGAAATGTTAGAGTATGGGTAACAAACCTTTCCAGAAAAGTATTGCAAGGTGTTTTTGAAGTGATCCATCTGAGCCGATTCTTCTCCAGATCCAAGTTGTATGTTTGAGGAGCGTAGGAATCCAGGTGAGTAGGTCTTCAATTCAGGGCAATTATGGGTATGCACATACTCCACTAATGGTAATTCCCAGTCATGAGTAACGTGGCAAAAGCTCCCAAGCTTTGGTAGACCTCTGAGTTCCAAATGGTTCAACTGAGGGAATAGAGTTTTATAAATCTTTCCTGTACCTCTGACTTCATCTTCCTCCTTTGCAACTGCTTCCTCCATTGTCAAGATGATTAATTTTTGAAGGTTCACAAGATATCTGGCCATGAAAGGAGAGAATAGACTTCGCAAACTGCCACAATTTGAAACACACATTAATTTTAGTTTATGGAATGAGCCAGGCAGAAGTTGGCTGCACCATATGTCATTTGTGTTCTGCAATCCACCAAGTTCCAATTCCTCCAATATAGGAAATGCAACCTGCAAACCCAACAAATGCATTAACAAGCACACCGCTAAAAAGTATTAGCGTTTGTTAGAGAGAATTTGACATTTTCGGGAAGTCTAGAAAAGTCGGCAAAAGTCTAGAAACTGTGACAAAAAAACAGTGACATGCATATGGAAATTTGTTGCATCTACCTTCTCATTGAAGAGAGGCTGAAGAGAGTTCTGAAGGCTGCCATTTGTTGCAACCACAGTATCAATCACTTTGGGAAAGAAACTCACAAGGTTTGACAGATCATAAAGACGCAAAAGTTTCAATTGAGGGAACTCAATTTTGTGGACTGAACTTTCACCTTTCCCATTGCTTTCTGCAACAATTCCTGACATCATCTTACATCTTCTTATCTCCAATTCTCGGAGTTGTGGAATGCTTTTCATCATGGCTGGTGAGAATAGATACATCAAGCTATTACAATCATGAACATGCAGCGTACTTAGTCTCGGAATATACATAAATCCAATAAGATCTCTCTTTGAAATATGGTTCAGTTTGGGTAGAGATATTAATTTGACAGATTTCAATTGAGAGAGCATATCTGAATCTCCTTCCTTAATATCCAACCTTTCCAAGTCAAATACCTTCTCCACTGACCTGCAGTCCTCTACAGTGAGTTCTTCAAGATTTCGCAGCCTCGCCAGCAATTTTGATGGAACCACATTTACCAGTTCATCACAGTTGACTACATTAATTTTTCTAAGTTTACACAAAGACCCCACTGGCAGTGGATCCTGTGCCAAACCTTCCAAAGTGTCAAGAAACTCAAGTTCTAGCACCTCCAAGCTAGGGAATGCAACCTGCTAACAAGCCGCCAAATGTTAAACGTGCTAGAATTTCACTCTCATTTTCATGATATTTAAAGCTTTTAGTAGTCAATGAGGATCTATAGTGCAAAATGCCTTGTTTCTTTACGATCACGAAATATAAAACTATAGTGCTCCATAGGACTTCTATGAATTTTTAAAAAGCATTGGAAATGAGAATTCAAACATTAAAACATAATAAAATACCAAGTTACTTAAAACCTTTCTTTAGTGCTAATTCTTAAATTATGGACCAAAAATTCAACAACTTGAATTGATATGAAAATACCAACAAATTACAGGATTTACAGGGGCTTCCACTGACGAAAATTTGGCAACACCCTTAGACTGATTTTGAAATCTTTCAAGGGAAAGAATAGGCTGCCTACCCAAATAAAGTAAAATTGCTTCTTCTCTTCTCTTCCCCATGTCATATCAAGCTTGCAAAGATGTTAACCTGGTTTTGGCATAACATGGGTGAGGCATAAACTTTTGAGATGCTGGTGTGTGAAATGTGATAGGCTAAGAGGGTATTTAGAAATGTGGAAGACAAAGTGGGGGTTTGTATTTTGCCATTTAGGGCATAGTAGATCATTCTAGTCCTGTTTTATCCATAAGCAATATGATTTTGAGAATTTACAAGGGTGAATAGAACATTGACCACTCAGTAACTTGGATACTGGTAGTACTTTTCCTTCCTCGTAGTGCTATACGAACCCAAAAAAATAAAAGAATTTGCAAAATGATGTCTCTTGTCATTAAATGCCTTCTTAAATTGCATGGTAATGTTACAGGCCAGAATGCAGGTCACTTTGTAGGATGAGGGATTATATGTAACAGATGCACACCACTCTGGTGCACTATGCCATTATGTACAATATTCTCCACTTTGTAGACAAAGTTTGCAAATTTTTTAAGTGCCTGCAGATTTTTTTTTCCCAAAAATTTATATAGAGCTGATGTTATACTTGCAATTGGCCGGTCAACTGGTTTGGATGTCTTTTTATAGTTGGTTCATAGGTAGCTAACAACGGGCCAGATGCAGAAAAAGAAACAGAAAAATTTACACTCATTGTATGATCGTATCTGAATAGGTTGGAAGACTAACATACATTAGAAAGAATACATGAGATTCCAAGGATGACCTATTTGCTTGTCTTGGTAAAATCTTTACATGCTTCGTTATGCACATATTCTTTAGAATCCTTTATTTCTGCTTCTCTTTCTTCGAAATTCAGATGTTTTCAGTACATCTTCTCTTTTTCACGTTCAAACATTTTTTCTATCGCATAAGTTTTCTTGGCATTTATATAATATTATAGTTCTAATTTGTTAAAATATTTACAACACAGTAATAACTTGATTTACATCTAAATTTGGAATTTCTTCCCTCAAATAAATTTGGATTTTATTTTTTATTTTTTTCTTTAAAAAAGGTCCTTCGGGCTTTTTTATAGCCAAAAAAATTACATCACAACAATGCAGAGATGCTAGAATAGATCAGTCAATTTTTATGTGAGAATCAGCGAAGACACTTCCATTAAATCAGCATAGCAGATTCTTGTTCTCCTAAGAATAGAGTGAGTACTTTCTTTATTCACACTAAAAAAAAAAGAAAAGCAAAGCAAAACAATAGCAAAAGAAAAACCTAAACACATACCTTTGGGGGGAAAATAGATTGCATAAAAGCATTGTGGTTTCCTTCTGAATCTGATGACATATGGCTGTTATTGGGGAAGGGGCATTTGATTTGTGGTAGACCTTCAACGTGCAATTTCTTCAATTGAGGGAACTCGATCTCATCAATCTCTCTACAGAAACCAGCGAGCTTTGGAAGCTATGAAGCACAGGTACTCCAAAAATAGTGCCGTACGAGTACCGGGTACTTACCGGGTGCGGGTACGCGTACCGGTACGGCGGTACGCGTACCGGGTACGGCAAAAGAGGGTCCGGTACGTTTGGCTTATTCGGGTACGGCATGGGTACGCCACGGGTACGGCGTGGGTACGCCATGGGTACGCCAAGGCCAATTTTTTTTTTTTTTTTTTTGCCCTTGCAAATTAGCAATTATTATTATTATTTTTTATTTTTTTTGGTGCCCTTGCAGATCAGTAATTTTGATGTTTCTCTGTTGTCCTGTTTGTCTGTATAAATTGTAGAAGCATATCAACAAATGATTTTAATGTTTTTAAAAAGCAATTTGAACCAAAAAAAATAACAAGGCCTATAAAGGGTAGTTCTGTGTATGACTATGCATTATGTTTTTGCTTTAGATCCTCCTAGAATTTCTTTATAAAATCTTTAATCATAACAAACTTTTAAAGTTTATGCACAAAACATTAAAAATTGATACTGTATTAGTTGATTAGTAGTTGTTGGGAATGATGCAATTTTATGTATTATGCAAATTGCAATTGACACCCTGCACCAATTGAGAATTTTTTTCCTTTATTGTTGGTAATTAACTTTAAATCTTTCTTTGGTCTCCTGTTATTTCTTTGGTCTCACCCTTTAAAAATAGCAAATTGATGAGCAAAAAGAAAGATTTTAAAAATAAATTATGATCACAAATTCACAGTGCATAACATATCAAAGTGAGAGATTTCACAAATATTATTTTTAACGCTTAATGGTTTTAAATTATAGGAAAATGAGTAGTTCTTTTTTTAGTTTTGATATTTAATTTTAATTTGTAGGTTGGATCCTTTAATCAAAATTATATTTAAAAAAAAATAAAAAAAATATCGGCGTACCGTAGCCGTACCCGTATCGTACTTTTTTTGAGTTTTGCCGAATCGGCGTACCCGCACTCGTACCCGTACCGTACTCGTACCCGCGCCCGTGCTTCCTTGTTTGGAAGTCTATCAAGCTGCATTTCTTCTAAATTGGGGAACACAATCTTTTTCGCAGTGGTTGCATTGCCAATGCTATCATCTCCTCTTTCCTTCCAAATAACTTCTTCCATCATATCACAACAAGATATGTTAAGAGCTTGGAGTTGCGCGAGACCTCTTGCGATTGATAGTGGAATCAGATTTCGCAATTTAGAACAAAGATGCACGTCAATGAATCTCAGGTAGCTGAGGCAGACATGAGTTTGAGCTGGACCCTCCACCAGAAAATGCGTCAAAGCAGGTAAACGTGATACCTTCACTGCTCTTAGCTTTCTGAAGGACCCCACTGGAAACTGGCCAAGACATATATCTCTCAAGCTAGGCAGACAATGAATATCCAAGCTTTCCAGAATAGGAAAAACAGCAGGAGCAGTATTAGTAGGCATAATCCAATTCATTGTATCAACCACACATTCCAGTGTATCACAATCACGAATTGAGAGAGACTTCAAGTGCTGCAGTCCTTCAACTCCATCTCGAACTAACTCATCTACCATATCCTTTGAACCCTCCCCTTGTAAACAAAGAAGTTCGGTATTCTTTAACAGCCAGTTGATCCCATACTCTAAAGGAACACAAGTGCCAAGATTGAGTACCAGTTGCTTTTGGAGTTGGCATCTCACTGGCCAGTCGCAATCGCTACCTATTAAAATTGTGTATTTCGTCAGGTTCCCAAAGAGGGCTCTGGAATTTCTTGGCAAAAGAGCTTTTGCATCTCTTATTTTGATCTCTAAAGTATTCAAATTGGACAATGACTCAAGCTCTCTGAGGCTAGCATTTCTCATTTTTGTTTTGCCTCCTATATCTTCCTCACCATCCCAATTACCAAACAAGCTGTCTCTCATGTACAGTTCTTGTAATCTGGCCAGGCCTGATATGACATCCAGTGATATTCTACTGAGATATATACATTTCCTCAAATCCAACAACCTTAGATTAATCAATTTTCCTATTTCTTCTGGTAAACCCTGGATGAGGGAACCACGAAAGCTGAGTATTTCTAGGTTCAATAACTCTCCAATTGCAGATATGTCTCCCACCAAGCGATAATCGAGACACAATGTTCGAAGGTTCCTCAAGAATCGAAGTGATAAAGGTGTCCATCGAGACATCATGCACCGCACATCTAAAACTTTGAGTTCTCTCATCCCCTCAAAGAAACTATCCGGCATTCTTGAAGAAAGACTTGTGCACCGTAACAACTCAAGTTTTGAGCTTCTAAACCCCACCGGAAGCTCCCTAGTGTTCTCCGTTATCACTGAAATGCAATTGTAGTGCTCATGCATGTCCTTCTTTGGTCCCTCTCTCAGTTTGAGGCCATCACTTATCACAAGTACACGCTTATCCCTGGATCCAATGGATATGGCAACATCACGAACTACTTCATGCATTTTAACATGCTCACCTTGTACACTATCAATGAAATTGTCTATGTCACTTTCTAACAGCAAATTGCAGCTCTTTAGTTGATCAACCAACACAAATACTCGATCTCTTGCTTCTCCTAGTTCATTGATGCCTTCAAACAACCGTAGCCCCATTCCATATCTAACCAAATCTTCGATGGGAATATAATAATTCTCTTCAAATAAGCAACAAAGCAGAAACAATGACTTGGCTTCCTCATCCTCTAAATAAGTGTAACTCAACTCTATAGACCGATAAACATTTGCAGGCACTCCTGACAAAATGCTTTTGGAACAAGGCATTCTTAGTTGAAGAAGTGCATCACTCCATACATGCTTGCTTTTGTTTAGGAGTGCACTTCCAATAGTCACCAGTGCAAGAGGTAAACGTCCGCATTCCTCCATAATTTCTTTCGATATTGATTGCAGATCAGGATTTGTAGCAGAATTTCCTACCTTGTCCCTAAACAAATTCCATGCTTCCTCCTCGTGTAAGACATCAAGTGAGATATCTATTTTCGTTTGTACTCTCCTCCACAGATATCGATTTCGGGATGTGAAAAGTATTTTGAAACCTTTACTGCCACCTCCCAGAGGAAATCCTAGGGCCTCCACATTAAATTCTGCCCAAACATCGTCCAATATCACAAGAATTTTCTTATTGTTTTCTAGTCTCTTCCGTAGCCGGCCAGCTCTGACAATAGGATTTTGCTCTTCAAGTTGCAGATCCAACATTTCTGCAATATCCCTCTGAATCTTACTCAACTCTGGCTTTTGGCTTACAACTGACATCACAATCTCATCAAACAGATTGTCTTCTTTCACTTTTTTGGCAACTTCCTTCGCCATTGTTGTCTTGCCCACACCTGGCATCCCGCATATCCCAATCATGCTGACCTGATCATTCTTTAGAGTCTCAATGATCTCATTCATAGTTGACACTCGGGACTCAAATTCCTTAAAACTCCTCGAGGATAGAGATTCTATCCCCATTGGAAGTGCAGAGCATGATACTTTCTCGAATTTTCCATCTTGTCTTTGTTGAATTCACCCCGCATATCCCAATCATGCTGACCTGATCATTCTTTAGAGTCTCAATGATCTCATTCATAGTTGACACTCGGGACTCAAATTCCTTAAAACTCCTCGAGGATAGAGATTCTATCCCCATTGGAAGTGCAGAGCATGATACTTTCTCGAATTTTCCATCTTGTCTTAGCTCAACAGCAACTTGAGTCCTCTTTGTTGCTTTCCTGCTCAGCGCATAACGTGACTTCAGATTCAAACATCCCTTCTGAATTTCTGTTTTTTCTAAAATAATTCTGTCTGCCACTTCCCTGATGTTATCCACACTAGTCATCCACTCTTCAACATCATTTCCGACAATCTCTACGTTTCTCCTGGCGGCATCCACCTGTACTTGCACCCCATCTCGCATAGTTTCAAGCTTCTGCACTTGATCTTTCAAATTCTCAATGTTGTTGTTGAAGCAAAATAGATATCCCAACCGTAGCACAATTGGATCAACCAAATATTTTCCAATTCTCCCCAAAATGGCATAAGCAATATTCTCCGCCATGTCAGACCTTTTTTACATAAATTTTTTTTCCTTTTTAAATCAGAAAAATAAGTTTTGTTAACTCAAAAAAGAGGAATATCTCGAGGTAATAGCATTTAAGTAAAAAGCTTCATCACTACATGGCACATCTAACTAGGTTGACTTTTAATCATCTAAAAAAAAGAGGAATACATCGAGGTAATAAAAATTAAAAAAAGAGCTTTATCACAAAAAGGCATATCTAACTTGGTGGACTCAACTCAAAACAGAGGAATACATCAAGGTAAATAGGAATTAAAGAAAAAGCTTCATTGCTAAATGACATAGGGCAGGGAATCGAAATCTACTTAGTTTTAGGCACAATATCGCCCTCATCTGCTCTCGGAGGAACCGGGGAACCAGTCTCAACTCAATATCCTTTTGATTGGTTGTAGTGCAATTTCTTTTAAAGAAAAAGAGGAATACATCGAGGTAATAGGAATTAAAGAAAAAGCTCCATCGCTAAATGGCATATCTAACTAGGTTGACCTTTAATCAAATAGAAAAAGAGGAATACATCGAGATAATAGGAATTAAAGAAAAAGCTTCATTGCTAAATGACATAGGGCAGGGAATCGAAATCTACTTAGTTTTAGGCACAATATCGCCCTCATCTGCTCTCGGAGGAAAAAAAAAAAAAAACCCCATCCAGTTGGGAAGATAAGTAAACAAAATAATCAAGAAGCAATACAAAGATGAAATGCCAAAGACAAAAACAAATCAAACTAGTAATTATATCGGAATCAAACACAAAGTTCAGAGAAGAAAACACTTAAACATCCCCACACACAGAGAGCAACAAATCAAAGTGGAATTAGGGAAGAAAACAATTCAATTAAATTTATTGAAAAATGTAATAGAGAGCAAAGTAAATAGTGTATGGAAATCAAACATAACGGGTTGAAAAGAACACAATCGACATTTTTTTTTAAAAAAATTTCAAGGGAAAATCTATAGAGGAAGATCAAAAGGAACAAGTGTAATATATCAAGCATATAGGAACAAAACAGAGCAGAAATGTTGAGCAGCTATGAGTTTAGAGAGAGAAAGGGAATGTTTTCACCAGCAATATAGGAAGAAAGAAACCAAGCAAAGCAGAGAGATGCTGAGCAGCCACTAGTTTGAAGCTAGAAGACCATGGTGTGGTGTGGGAGGAGAATGGGAGAAGAGAGTGATGGACTGAAACAATGGAAGCACAGAGAGACACCTTGTATGGTTAATTTTTTAACAACACTGCTGCATACCGTCAGTGGGGGTCGCACCCCCACTGGCCGAAACTCAAAAAAAAAAAAAAAAAACAGTTTTCTTTTTATCCAATTATGGAGTGCCACTTCACTGGGGTCGATCCCCAGTGAGAGTGTACGAGGCATTTTTCATTTTTTAAATTGTTTTCTCAAATTTTTTTAAAGCATTTTGGATTATTTTAAGCAGAGTGAGAATTTTTGACTATTTAATTATTTTAATTTTTATATTTAAAAAGATGAGTTGAGTTTGTATAAATTGTTGTATTGGAAAACGCATTTGAAATGATGTTAAACAACGAAATGACAAAAATGTTCCTAAGAAGAGTATGACCTTGTTGAATGCCATGGCATTGCCACTTGAGAAATGTACTTGGGTTCCATCAATTGGCGTGAATCTCAATCTTCACAATGGACAATTTAACAGGGTCTTTTTTTTCTTTTTCTTTTTTGTATTTGCTTTTCTATTATTTCAGCTGCGAGGTTAAAGTAGCCTCCTCAACCTACTTTCCAAACACTAGCTAAATGTGTTGCACTTAGACTATTTTAAAAAGAAGGTTTTGTTCTCAAAAAAAAAAAAAAGAAAAAAAAAAAGAAGAAGGTTAAAAGTTAATTTATTGTTTTTTTTTTGTTTTTTTTTAAATATATAAAAAAGTAAAGAGATAATGTGACTTAAAAAAGTCAAAAAATCATTGCTTGAATTGAAGTTGCACTTAAATATGAATTTGATTATTATATTTGAATTCACGGCCTCGTCACGATTTTCATTTCGATAATTTAAATCGTTGATATGGTTCATCACCTGAAATTGTCGATGACTTTTTTAATAATTTTTTCAGTGGTCTTTCTGGTGATGGTCGGCAACTGCAACAATGGTGATAATGATATGGGTATATAGGCAAACAACAATGGGATGATACATGAACAATGTGAACAAACAAATAATATATGAACGAATAGTGAAATGATACATGAACAAATAGATGACATGGACGTACAAATTGTCCAGTAGTCGAGGTACAATTGAAAAGGAGAAATTTAAATTTCGTTTATCACCAAAGAAAGATCAAACTGTAAATCAAATAATATACAGCCTTATGCTTGTAAACTTTTCACCAATTATTCATTGATTTTGTAGTATGAGTTGAAAATTTGTTGACTTTTTAATTATTTTTTTAGAGATTTTTTTAACTAAAATATGCAATTGTCAAACAAACCATTAAGCATTGGAACCATGACTTAAATTAATTAAGGGAAAATTATAATTAAAAAAATCATAATTTGAACTTTGTAACAAAATAAATTTGAATTCTTTATTTTGTTAATTTAAACTTTATTCTTTCGATTTCTTTTCAATTTAAACTATCTATATATTTTTATTAAGTAAAATTGTAGAGAAAAAAAAAGTGCATTTTTATCATGTAAATCCATAAAAATGGGTATTTTAGATATTTTCTGTATATTTACATTGAATTTAATAATTAAAATATAATTTTTTCGACAACTGTACTTGACAAAAATAAATAGATGGTTTCAATATAAAACAAATCAAAAGATCGTGATTCAAATTGACAAAATTAAAAATTATTAAGGCTCAAACCTTTATAAAATAAAATAAAAACACAAAACAAAACAAAACAAAACAAAATTGTAATTTCTCCATTATTTGATTCTTGGTCTAGTCTTTTAAATTAAAATTTTGTAATTTTAAAGCATTATTCATTTCAACACCAAAAAATTAAAATTGTAAAATTTTACAGTTTTCATCACCTATAATTAAAATACGAAAATAACTTATTCAGAACTTGAAAATTTTCTCCATTAAAACAAGAAAATAGAAGTGCGTAGAAGAGAAAATGTAGAAAAATTGAGAGATCGAATGAGAGAAACAGATATAGATAGAAGATTGTACTTCGGCAATTATTTTGGTTTAGATATAATCAAATCTGATATAAATCTACTCATCTTATTCGCCGAAAACTCATATCCTTCGTTGTTGGTGAGGGTGAAGTAAGGAGTACGGTGGTTGCCGATGAACCCTAATTAATGATGGTCGTCGGTCGCTAATGACTATTTATCAAATAAAGAAAGAGAAGAAGCAAGGTGTGATCACTAGTCGCCAATCGCCGAAAATTAGGAAGAGAAAGAGGCAAAGAAGAATGAAGGCGCAAAGAAGAACGAAGAAGAAAAATACGTAGTGGACTTTTGAGAGTATCCAAAAGATTGTGAGACTAAATAGACTTCTCTTATTTCAAATAGGACTTCCAAGTAATTTTTCCTTTTTGTATTTGACAAAAATCCGATTAGGCCCATTATTATTACTTTGATGTTAAGTTACATATAAAAACAATAAGAAATTTGGTTAATTATTCACCTATTCTGTTATGAAGACCTATGCACCATTAAGTCCTACAAGTGTTTGTGTGAACCAAAAAGACTTTTTGCATATTAAAAGACTCCTTCATTTTTCTCTTTCTTTTTATCATTTTTGACAAGGAAATAACCGACAACCACGGACCACCGATAGCTTGCCACAGCCACTCCTCCACCTCACTGGCTTTGTCCTCACTTGCTTCGCCATCAGCGAACCCCTCTTTATGTCCTCTTATACTCCCCCGTCTTTCTTTACTGCCATTATCAATTGGAGCTCCATCATCATCATTCTCTGTCAAATTTAGACCAGATCTGACTAGATCTATATTAGATCTCGCCAAATCTAAACAAAAAATAGTCTTTAGAGTACATTCCTCTCTCTATGTATGTCTCCTTCGTTTGATCTCGCTTGTTCTTATTTTTATCTACTGCACACTTCTTCTTTTTCTCTATTTTAATGGGAAAAAAATTGCAAGTTTAGAACAAATATTTTTTCAATTTTAGTTACAGGTCATGAAAAGTAGAAAATTGTACAGTTGAAGATACATTTATGCTATCCTCTATGACTCTAGTTTTTTTCCCTTTTGTTAAAACAACAAAAAAAATAGTAAATATTGACAACCTAAAAAATTACAAACCATTAGAAACTACTTATCTGAGATCTTCACAATCACTGCAACGTGAAATTGTGTTTTGATAAATTGTAAATGAGCAAATTGATAATTTTTATAGTTTTAAAACTGCAAATTTATGTAGTTTGATAAATATTAAATTCAAACTCCAAATTTTTACAATTTTGTGAACTAAAAATTATGTGCTTTGTATGATAAAGAGTTCTTTGTTTTTGTTTTGTGTGCGTGTGTGTGTGTGTGTTTTGTGATATTGAAGAGGATGTGATTAAATGTTGTTATGTTTTCACTCTAATTTCTCCCTTTAGTTTTTTTCCTAGCAATGTTTTGGACATTCCAGTAAGTCTCCAGTGATATTCTCGACGTCTAGCGATTCTCAGTGACATTCAAAACATTTTAGCGATTCTCCAATGACTTTTCGACAATGTTATGAATATTCTGTTGAGTCGTCGGTCATTGTCTGGATTAAGTCAGGTGATGATTTGACGATGGTAAATGTGGCAGCGACATGACAATGGAATATAAAGATTTATTGGTAATAATTAAAAATGAACAGGACTTTTTGGTATACTAAAAAATCAAGAGAACTTATTGGTACACCTATTTCCCTCACAAGACTTTTCAATCAGCCTACCAAAAAAGAGAAATTATACTTACACAACATATTTACCTATTCACACCCTCCATTTGAGATTTTTTTTTTTTTCAATTTTACCCATGTGTGAAATTACTTTTAAGGACAAAAGACAAAAATTAAATAGATTTGATGATCTCTTTACACCAATTACACTTCAATCACTACTTCATTTCTTCCTTTCTCATCTCTTCTTCTTTGCTATACATCTACTTTTAAAAAGTAAGAATCATAGTGTTTTGATCATAAAAAAAGTAATGGAGGAAGTAATGGTGGTAAAGGACCAACAAAAAAGTGAAATTGTGAGTTTTTATGTTTTCGTTTCATTTTTAAAGAGAGTTGTTTAACTTTGTTCAAAGTTCAAAGCTGAACGAAATCAAATAGTTCGGAATTACACTGCCGAACAAAATATATATATCTAGTAACCCAATACCAAACATAAAATACTTGTTCAGTAACCTATTGTTGAATACAAAGTACATGTCTAGTATCTCACTGTCAAATATTTTCAATTTTATTTTTTTGACATTTTTTATTTTGAAGAATTGTGCTTCTACTCATTATAGTAAGGCTAGTAGCGCATTGTTAATGGACTATAGATGTTTGTACACTTCATATTTTTATGGATGCTTGATATTTTAAGGAGAGTGAATCTGTAAACATGCAGCAACAAATGGTTGGACAAATTTAGTTTGTTCGGTAACATGACACTAGAATAATCCAAATTATTTGGCAATGTATAACCGAACAAGCCCATCTTAATTTTTTTTTTTTAAAATGATACTTTAAGAAAAGTGAATCTGTAAACGTGCGGTAATAAATGACTGGACAAATATAGTTTGTTAGGTAACATGACACCAGAATAATTCAAAAGGAATAGGTGTAATGAGAAAAATCTATAGGGATTTTAAAAAGGATTTTAATTTAGGGTTAGTTTTAGTATTAAAAAATGTGTAATGAAAATTTTAATTTTTTTTTAAGGAAAATTTAGCCAAAACCCTCCATTAGACCCTTGTTTGGTGAAAATGACAGCTTAATTTATTTTGATTCATAAACCCCCCAGGAAGGAAGCGCATAATTGAGTAAGGACATAATAAAATTTCTTTTTTTTTTTTCTTGAATAATATTGCCCATGCATATATATATATATATATATTTCACAGAACTCTTTTGACTAGAAACACTTTTATTTTATTTTATACAAATTTTAAAATATTGTGTATGTATATTTGTAACATGCCCGGGGGGTACCCGCGCACGTTAAACAGTTCGGACCCCCGAGATCTCTTTGATCTATTCTCACGAGTGCAATGTGAAACATAGATGAGAGTCCAGATTTG